AAAAAAAAAAAAAAGGCAAAGCAAAACAGAGAATAACAGAGCAACTTCACATGGACGCAAATCAAACATTTGGCAAAAAACGATAGCAATTTCGCCTCCCCTTTTGTAACGTGAAAAAAAAAAAAAAATATGTTGCAGCGTGCTTTTACTCAGTATGCATCGCGGAATTCTAACTCTTGGGATATTAAACAAAAATGAGTTTTTCCTTTTTCCGAGTTTTATCACAAGTGGGTTACACAAATGTGTGTGTATTTGGACTAATTGCGTGAGAATAATTTTTTTTTTGCTTGTCCTTTCCTCCACCAATGTAGCCCTTTTTTTTTTTTTTTTTTTTTCTGTCCGCGTTGTTAATGGGGTTGCAATTCACCGTCAGGAATTGTCCCCATCGCGGTACACACCGAATTAGAGGACATACAATGACGCGATTCTGTGGGACGAAACAAATTAACCAGCGGAGGAAAACTCCCCAATAGGAAACATAGCGTACAAGTGAGGGGCAAAATGGTAGGGACATAAAGTGAAAGAAGCGTCTCCACGATTACGTCGCCGCTGCTCCTGCACGATACACTACGACAAGAGAGGCAGCAAAATTGGGGAAATTACCAACTTGCAGAGGCCTTATATAAAGGAGCGCAGCTGTGCCGAGCGATGACCACAGATCAAGTGGGAGCAGACGCAAAGCTGGCTATGCACAGTTGGAGCTACAGTTAGACAAAAACCTTCGAGAAGAGTTAAAGTTAAGCGAAAAAAAGGGAAAGAATTTAAATTCGCCGCTGCTTTGCAAAAGTCCTTTGCATATGAAGAAAGCACGACATGCGATGTGGAGAGCTACAAGGGGGTTACAGCAACGTATCCCCTTGCGGTAGGTAAAGCGCATAAGGTACACGATCAACGCGTAAACTCGGCACATAAAACCACCATCCGCCTTAACGAGCACTACGCGTTCCGTTCTATCCAGCCCATAGCAAATGGTGGCCATTCCGCGTGTGCAGTGTGAGAAGTTCTCACTCCGAAAGAGAATGATCATTAAACGCGAAGGTAGCTGACCACCAAACATTTTCAATTAACGACGTTGCCTCTCGCGAATTGATGTGCCCCACTCATACGTATAGACAACTGCACGCTTGAACGCATGTATATATATATATTTTTTCCAAAAGTACATTTTCCTTTTTAAGCAACCTTTTCTTCTTCTTGTAAAAAATTTTACAATGTTGTTCCTCACGAAAGAATTCCGTGCCGTCATTGGCGACTAAGGATAAATACTACATCACTAGGCAGTAAACTCCTTCCTGTTGTTCTTCCCCTCCCCCCTATCAGTGTGCCCCGGTGAAGCGTAACGAACGCTGCGGCACGTTGCAGACTTGTATATGTATGGTCACACGTACATAAACATGTACACAGGGACACACCCGTTTTAATTGCTTACGTAAGTTATAACCGTAGCATGAATAACAAATGGAATGGGTAAATGAGGGGGTTCATATTTTTGGCTAAATTGGATCTTCCAACGGGAGCTTCAAATGTGTCAGTTAAACCGCGATAAAAAGGTGTACCCCTGCAGAGGAAAAAAAAAAAAAAAAAAAAAAAAAGAAAAGTGTGACACACGTAGCACGTATATTTGGTTCGCGTACCCCGAAATGTATGAGCCACCTTAAAAGTGAATCGCCGTTCACAGCATTTGCTCCTCCACCGGCTTGTAGCATGGGGAGGACCTTATAAAAATTGAGCAAAGGAAGGAAGCGAACATATGTGTACCCCTTAAAAAAAGTAAAAAATATATATATACGTAGTGTAATGCAGGAGGTTGAATTTTTTTTTTTTTTTTTTTTCCTTTCTTGACTAATCGGCAGAATTAGCCTTAGTAAAATATTTATGCATCCTAGGTAGTCACCATACAGTCAGTCAGCTGGTCATATCTTTATATAAAGGAAAAGTAAAAACAAACATCCTCCAAAATGAACAAACTGGTGAGTCCGAGAGGGAAGAGTAAAAATGAGTAAAGAGTGAATAGTCCCTTGTGCCTTGTGTTTACCTCAAAATTCGCCTCTTACTTCCCTTTGTTAGCTCACGACCCTTTTGGCCCTATTCCTTTTACTGCAAAGGAGTTGCATTCAGGCTGAGAACCATGAAATCACTCATAAGGTAAGGGCAGAGTATGTGTGGGGAGAATAGTGGCACGCTTCCTTTCAATGCCACAATCCCTTTATCGTCTGGGTACACTTGATGAGGGAACGTAGTGGGCTCTTTGGACAACCTCGCTTTTGCTTGACCGTTCATATATTTTTGCCATACACTCCACTTTTTGCATGAACGGTTCATATTTTTTTTTCTTAACAACTGTACTGTTTAGCCTACCTACATACAATTTTCAGCTAGCCACTCCGTTTTTACCGAACGCGTTCATATTTTTTTTTTTGTTTTTTTTTTTTGCTAACCATTGTTATTTTGGCTGATCCGTTCACACGTCTTTTCTTTTCTTTTTTTTGCGTAGACTTACTTCGACATAAGCATAAATGACAAGCCGATCGGGAGAATAACGTTCGGGCTGTACGGAAAAGTAGCCCCAAAGACGGTGGAAAATTTCGTCAGCATATGCAAAGGAACAGTAGTGAATGGTAAAATGTTGAACTACACGAATTCGATTTTTCATCGCATAATTCCGAATTTTATGGCACAAGGTGGCGACATAACGCACTTTAACGGAATGGGTGGTTTGAGCATTTATGGAGAGAAATTCAAGGACGAAAACTTTACGTTAAAGCATACTAAAAGGGGCATGCTGTCCATGGCGAATGCAGGGAAAAATACCAATGGAAGTCAGTTTTTTATTTTATTCATTCCGACCCCTTGGCTAGACGGAAGGCACGTTGTCTTTGGGGAAGTAATTGATGGGTTGGACAAGTTGGTTCAGATTGAAGCGGTGGGCACCGATTCGGGGACTCCTCTAAAACGAGTCCTCGTCACAAAGTCGGGTGTGTTGTAAGATGCACCATGCACACATAGCATTTAGCGAGTTCTGCCTGTGTGCGCTTGTTACTTGCGAACTGTGGCGCTATGGCCGTTTTATGGCATATTCCTCCCTTTTTTTTTTTATTATTTTAAATATAACTTTAAAAGGATACATAAAAAACGTTAAAGGAGAAAAGGACAAAAAATTAGAAGTTAATGAAGCTATTAGAATGTAAAAAGGAGGGAAAAAAAAAACGAATGACAAAGAATAATTACAAACAACGGTATGCGTACACAGTTGTACGGTCAACACTTCATGCAGAATGAGGTTGAAGGGGGGTGTTATTATCGTGTCCTTTTAACCCCCCTCACATATTATCTCCGTGCCCATCTGGGTAGGTCCTCTTTTCCATGTTTAAAAAGATGGGGGGAAAAACTCAGAGTAGGCATGGGAGATCAAAATGAACATTATTCAAAAGTATGGTCTCCACCGGTTACACAATATTTTCTACGTGGTGCAATTATGAGATGGTTCCCTCATCTCTTGGCACGAAGAAGCCAGCTCGTCAATGAAGCCTCTTTTTAATACGTCACCCTTTGCACTTCTTAACTCTCTCTATGGCTAACTTTTTGGCCGTTTCGAACCCGTGATACTCGGCTGAGAAGGACCTGCACACGGGGAAGTTTCTCTGGCGGTAGAATGCCACCCAGCAGTTTGTTACGACATCGTAATGGACCCCTGTATGTGGAAAGGCGTGCAGGTATGTAAGTAAGCATGTGTAGAATGAAGCACATGTGTGCGCACACGCATGGGTCATTGGGGGACCCCTTGAAAGGTGAAGCGGAGTTGCACCTACCTTCCACGCCAGACTCGTAATGGGGCCTGTCATTAATGCGCTTGTTGTCCTAAAAGGGTGAATAAAATAAATGCACAAATGATGGGAGGTTCCAACAGTTATAGAAAATAAGAAAAAAAAAAAGCATGTCCAATTAATGACCCATCGTGTGTAGAACAATACACAAAGCGGGAGTTGTGTAGGAAAAGAGAAGAGACAAAAAGACCTTTCCATTTTTTTACCTTTAAATATTCGAAAAATTTGATGGCCTCCCTCTTGGCTGATTCTATCCCATACTTTTTAATAGGGAAAGGTTTCGCATTCAGTTTGTTATTTTCAAACCAGAACACTTCCCACTGCTCATTGAGTTGTTCGTACTTTATATTTTCATTGACTGAATCGAAGTAGTCTTTCCTGATGGTAACTTCTTTGGCACGGCGAAGGTGCACGGGGTGAAACCTAAATTGGGATGAGCATACCGGGTGAGGGGCGGTGGAGTTGTACACTGATGGATGGTCTGCACTCTACCATTTGTTAATAACATGTCGGGGTCCAGCAGGAATGTGTGCATGTGCTGATTTTTTTTTTTTCCGCCCTTTTATGTAGGGGTCAAACCTGTTCTCAGGATCCGAGCGAAACTTGTTTCCTATTCCCCACTTAAAAACATATTGCATAAAGTTGGCCTGTTCGTTCCCTTGGGGTGTCACCGCACTAGTAGGGGTCGCATCGTTTGTCCCTGACTTACGCAGGAGCGCATTTTTCCCACTTTGCGTAAGGCACAGTGAGCTCTTTCTATCTCTACATAGGGGGCTTACATGCAAGCATTTCTTCAGCCATATGTAAGGGGCCTTCCGCAGTAGTGGATTGTTTCCCGCCTTGCATACACTTAAGCGCGCGGTCCATAGGTGTGTGTATGGAGTCATATCTTCCTAGGCATATGTTTATGCACGCACAGGGAACGTATCCCAGGCGGAGTGGTAAACGCGTTGTCCCATTTACTGCTTGGGAAGCACCCCATTTGGTGACGCAGCCGGGGAGAGGTACACTTCTATGGAGTTATGCGCTGGAATTTTAATGAGCACATTGGAAAGGAAAAATTACACTCCTTTGCTTATCTTGTTTAGATACCCCTTCGAACTGTTCAATAGGAAGAAAAAAAAAATTAAAACAGCCGCTCAGAGGTGATTACTCTACTATTGCGTGCTGACCAAAAAAATTTACACTTCATCAAGTCGCTTTTTTTTTTTTTTTTTTTTTTTTTTTTATGCACTCTCCATTGGTGTAAACGGGGCTTTGCTGCAAAAGGGGGACTTGCTTTAAATGTTGACCATGAGCATCCTTCCCTTAGGTGGCACAATCTACCACGTACAAAAATAACGTATGTAACAGTGTGTGAGTGCGCACGCGGTGTGACCTTTCTGGGGAATTCACTTTTGTGCTCGTATATTCACAAGGACGTAGGGAAGGACCAGAAGCGACCAAACCTTTGCACAAAATTTGTGAAACATAAATTTATAACGAAGTGTCCTTCAATTGTATTTCTTTTTTTTTTTTTTTTCCTGTGGAACAAAAATGCTAGAATATCGTGCCTATATGTGTATGACGCGGGGGATATTTTCAGGGGCAACATGCACCTTATATGTCACTCCTATGAAATTTTGTATAGCGGGTGGGAGGAGCAAAATGGACGAGAAGAGACCTACGCAGATTTTTTGTTTTTTCTTTTTTCGCTCACTTGTAGCATAAGCGGTATGGTTCAGGTAGGGTGTAAAATAGGCTGTCCTTTTTTGGGCAGTTTACATTTTCTATTGGACTTGTTTTTTTTTAAAGAACACAGTGGGGCTCTGCTCTGGCGCGCATGCATGTGAAACAGAACGGAACAAAGAGCATGATGTGCCTATGCGTGTATGGTGGGTACAATATGTGCGTATATATTCAATGGGGACAATTTTTACGTGGGAGCTATTATTTCCACGGCTAATTCGTATGCGAACAAAATTGCCACCGCCAGGACACAAAGGGGGGCACACATCATATTGAGCTCTTACACTTTTAAAAGAGCCTATAAAAGGGACGCCACTTCATTGTGCGTATTACGGCGTGTAGTTCCACTTCCAGGAGCGTTCACCCCGCCAAGGAGGAGTTAACGACGCGACAGTTATACTCTGACCCACTTGGTTTAGATCCAACCAGTTGTTGTATACATGTATATATATATATATATATATTTTTTTTTTTTTTAAATTTGTGTGGTCCGAGTTTCACCGGTTTAAATTGCCCACTTGGGGTCGCTGACCTCAAAATTGCCACTCTTCTTCATGCACGTGCAATATTTTTCCTTCTGTTACAAGTTTCAAATGAGCAAGTTTTGCTTCCCACACCATGATGCGCCGCACCGGTTATTGTTGGCCTTTATTTTCATGCGCGTGGTGTTTGCTTCTGCATTTTTTTTTTTTTTTTTATACGTTTATTTTTTTAAGATCTCTTATATTTTTGTAAATATTTTTATTTTTACGCTTATTTTTTTACTTCAACTACAAAAATTAAATTTTTATTTTTGCGATGATTTTTATTCCCATTTTCATTTCCCTAAATAACATTATGAGCGTATTATATAATAACATGTTAACATAGGTCACATCCATAAGCCGTATTATATAACAGTCTTTGTTTACATCACCTACTACTGCGCGTCCCCGTGCGCGCCAAAATTGCGCAAACTTTGAAGATTCCCCGTGCTCTCTTAAAAACATTCTCCCGAGCGTTGGCTCGTAAAGGCCACTTTAGCGCAACCCTAATCCCCATAAAGTACTCTGAACTTTGGGGCAGTTATTTATTTATTTTTTTTTTTTTTTTCCAAAAAGGCATAAAGCTCTCTACTACCCAAAGGGTATAGGATAATATATATATTACCATTTGGCTTAAACTTTGCATAAAGGTTTGACGTATTTTTTTTTTTTTGTTCTTGTTCGTTTTGTCAATAATGGAGTATCACGTTGAATATGACTCTAAAGAGTCTGGTAAAACTGAGAAGGAGGCTTTTGTACAAAACTCATTTAAGGAAACAAATGGAAAAGGAAGGAAAAGACTGTTCTTCATCTTATCCGTATCAGTTATAGGCCTGTTAGCTGGATCTGCATTTTATTTTACACGCATGGACAAGAACACCAATGATGAACCCCAGGACAATACCACATATGGAGTTAGCAACAGTGATGACTTTATTATCACTAGTTTATTGAAAAGCCCAGGTGGAAAAAAATTCATTGTGTCCAAATTAAAAGAATTAATATCTTCATATGATGAGGATGTTAACTTGAATAAAGCAAGACGGGAATCCACTGAAGCGAAGAGCACCTCCGTTGCTACAATTAACCAACAGAAGCATGGAAATTTTAAAGTGCCTACAAATGTGAACATCAACTTTGCCGACTCCAGATTTTTGATGACCAATTTGGAGAATGTCAATTCGTTTTACCTCTTCATTAAGGAGCACGGAAAGGAATACAAGACACCAGAGGAGATGCAACAAAGATACCTCGCTTTTGCAGAAAATTTCGCAAAGGTAAAGGCACACAACAGCAAGAAGAATGTTCTGTACCAAAAAGGAATGAATAAGTTTGGTGATATGTCCTTTGAAGAATTTGAAAAGAAATATTTGACCCTGAAAAGCTCAGATTTAAAGGCGTATAAAGGAAAGCTAAATATAGTGTCCAACTACGAGGATGTAATTGACAGATACAAACCAAAGGATGCTACCTTCGATCGTACCAATTATGACTGGAGACTACACAAGGGTGTAACCCCTGTAAAGGACCAAGGCGATTGTGGATCTTGCTGGGCCTTTAGTACCGTGGGAACTGTGGAGTCACAATACTCAATTAGAAAAAACGAATTGGTATCCTTAAGTGAGCAACAAATGGTAGACTGCTCTCGTCAGAACAATGGCTGCGATGGAGGTAACATCATAAAAGCCTTTGAGGACATGATTGAAATGGGAGGACTCTGTGAAAATAAAGAATATCCATATGTCGAGAACGTACCAGAAATGTGCAAATATAAGAGTTGTGAAAAGAAATACAAAATTAATACCTTTGTAGAAGTACCTCAATATAATTTTAAAGAGGCCGTTAGATTTCTGGGACCCTTAAGTGTTAGTGTGGCTGTAAGTGATGACTTTGCCTTTTACCAAGGAGGTATTTTTGATGGAGAATGTGGCCGTGAGACGAACCATGCTGTTATTCTAGTAGGTTTTGGAGTTGAAGATATTTACGACTCTGATACCAATACCACCAAGACACACTACTACTACATTATTAAGAATTCCTGGGGAGCCTCATGGGGAGAGAGAGGATTCATTCGAATGGAGACCGACATAAATGGATACAGAAAGCCGTGTTCCCTTGGCCTGGAGGCCCTAGCTGTTCTTGTGGAATAAAGGTTGATGTAGGAAAGAAAGGAGGGGAGGGGTGGGAGCCAAGAAAAGGACAATCTCACTGCTCCGTGATCTGGTAGCTGTGCAGATTAGTGGCTATTCGCGATGACAATTACGCATTTGAAAAATGATATCCCCACACTTTGCCTATGGACACCCCCACCAAGAAGTCTCCACACACACAAGTGCGCACGCAGCACCGCTTGCATGAATTGAAGTACCTTTACAGCACATCTTTAATGGATGGAAATTGCGTGAGACAGATTTTCCCTTCCCGAGGAGTCTCTATACCCCCTGGGGGTTTCCACCAGCTGTCCCTCCGTTTTGAAAATACTCTCCGAGATTTTACCCCTTCGCCTCAGGGTTTATTTATTCCGTCCCTTGGTTTTCTACAATTTACCCGTTCATTCTTGTCTCTTTCTATTTTTCTCTATAAATTCCGCGCACGCTGTCATGTGTCATTTGGAAGGAGGCCAATTAATAAATATGCCTTCTTTAAAAGTGGCATGTGCAATTTTATATATATGTAGCGTTATTGTTACACCCCTTATTGAAAAAGCATCATATGCTTAGAATTTTTTTTTTTTTTCTTTTTCTTTTTTCTCTAAAGGGATAGAACACCCTAAACTGTTACGATTATGAAAATGTTAAGGAAAAAAGGGTGTTTACACTTTCTAGCGTGGAAGCGCACAGATTCGGCATTCACCCCGCAGCGATATGTTTTCCGCCAAAAGGCGACTTTGCAAAAGTTGGGTACGAATCCATGGCGGTATAAACGAAACAACCCCCTTTGTCCCTCTTCATTAACAAGATTAATATGTTAACTCCAAGAGGATTTCCTCACCGAGGCGATACAGTGTTGTTTAAACATTTCTCTCCTTGGCTGCGTTGTTTTTGTGTATAATTAATACTGGATGGAGAAAAAAAAGGAAAAAGTAAAAATGGTTCCAAAAATTGTGTACAGTAACTACATATTGACCGTGCTATTTTTTTCCCGTATGCCATTATGGGAAGTAGCGCTAGAAATTTCCCCCCTTTTTTTTTTTGTTTTTTAATATCACAAAAGGGGAGAGCAGGTAATATCTACAACGGATATTAATGCGATCGTGTAGCACGTATTTACAAATGTGCCGCAGGAGATTATTACTCTAACTTGCTGCTCCTTTTTTGTTCTTTTCACACTGGAAATTTCTACGCACCGCAAGAGGCAGAGATTAAAGTGCTGTCGTAAAAGCGAGGACGTGAAACGCTCTAGGATAAATGCAACATACAACTGTATCATGTATCCACGCCGAGGAAGAACAAATTTGGCGTTCCGCTGAGCGGTGCATGTGAAAAACATATATATGCAATACTACTCTGTGCTGTGCTATGCATGCATGTGCCTTTATTTTCTTTACCCTGCGTTCTCCTTGGCCGGAAAAACTTTTAGAGTCAAACCACCCAGAGCGACGGCTTGATTCCCCCCTGCCCCACAAACACACACCTAAATAAATTATTTTTTGACCGAATTAGGGAAAATGCTCGTTCTACAATTTTTAGCATAAAAAAAAAAAAAAAATAGCTGCCGGAGTTGTGCCTTTTTTTAAATTGTACACAAGGGATCGATCATCTAGAAACAGTCGGCAAACGGGCATGTTGCCCTTTCCCCTCCTTGTAGAAGGGATAGCAAAGGAAAAAAAAATAAAATTAGAGAAAATTCCTGCAACGTCACCCTCCGTCGCATTTTCTCCGAATAAACAAAATTGTACCAAAAAAATATGTCACATGTAGGATGGAAAGTAGCGTGGTAGGTGTTGTTTAACTTATTTGTTCTTATTTTATTATTTTTTATTTTATTTTTATTATTATTTTTTTTCTTTTGCGCACCCCTTTTGCTGCTCTCCTTTCATGTGACAAATTTGAACTACCTTTTTTTTCATGCATGAGAAACTTATTTGAAACCAAAAAAAAAAAAAAAAAAAAAGTTGCACTTTTCTTTTCCTTTTTGCAACATATTTTTTCTTTTAGGAGGACCTTTTTCTCTTTTGCCTTACTCCTTTTTCCTATACCATTCCATTTTTGCTGTTCCTTTTTTTTTTTTTTTTTTTTCTGTTTTTTTGTGCATCCACTTCCGCTATAATTGTATATTGTTGTATATGTTTTTATGGTTTTCCCTTTTTTTTTTTTGTTTGGCCTCGTTCGTTAGTTTTTGTTTTTTTTTATGTTTTGCCTGTGTTAAAACGATTGTTTCCTTTGTGAGCTTTTGAATCTGGCTCTATTTGTGTAGAAGCAGCGACAACTCGTTGTAGATATTTTTTGTGCCACAGTTTTTTTCCGCTGCTGCGCTACCCGCCGCCTTTTTTGTTCATTTCCTTTTTTTTTCTACCACTTTTTGCGCCTCTGCCCACACTTTCGCCCCTTTGATTCAACATGGAATACCACATGCAGTACAGTACCCAGGACTCCCTGAACGCAGGAAAGAAGGCGTTCATGGGGCAGGGATACAACTTTGACAAGGCAGCGTTGAAGAAAAAGAAAAACGGCCTCATCATCTTGTCCGTCTCGGTTATTTGTATAGTCGTGTGCTCCGTATTTTACTTCACCAGATCTGCACAAGGGAATGGAGGCATTATATACAGAAATGGGGAGAAAGTGGACGATGATTACATAATAAATTTTTTATTAAAAACTAAAAATGGAAAGGAATTTATTGCATCAAAAATGCAGGAGTTATTATCGGCGTATGGCAAAAAGAAGGACAACACGTCCTCTCACCATGCAGACATATTCAAACGCTTTACAAGGAAGGACAAATGTACAGGCAATAGTTGTGGTGTTAGTCCATATAGGAAGAATTCACATGAGGAAGAGATGGTACCCCAACCAAAATTAGTCAACCCTCTTATTGACACCCAATTTTTGATGACCAATTTGGAGAATGTCAATTCGTTTTACCTCTTCATTAAGGAGCACGGAAAGGAATACAAGACGCCAGAGGAGATGCAACAAAGATACCTCGCTTTTGCAGAAAATTTGGCCAAGATTAAGGCACACAACAGTCAAGGAACTTCCATGTACAGAAAAGGAATAAACCATTTTGGTGATCTTTCCTTTGAAGAGTTTAAGAAGAAATTTTTGACTCTGAACACCTTCGACTTTAAGTCAGGTGTTAAGGGATTACCACGCATGGCTGATTACGATGAAGTAATTCATAAGTACAAACCAAAGGATGGTACTTTTGATTACGTGAACCATGACTGGAGAGACTTTAACGCCGTGGCACCTGTGAAGGACCAGAAGAATTGTGGTGCCTGCTGGGCCTTTAGCACAACAGGAGTTGTAGAGTCACAATACGCAATTAGGAAAAAGGAGTTAGTCTCCCTAAGTCCACAAGAAATGGTCGATTGCTCCTTCAGAAACCATGGATGCGAAGGAGGCACCCTCATGAATGCCTTTGAGGACATGATCGATTTGGGAGGCATCTGCAAAGAAAAGGACTACCCCTATGTAGATGTAACTCCAGAACTTTGTGACATTGATAGATGCAAGAACAAGTATAAGATTACAACCTACGTACAGATTCCTGAAATGAGATTTAAAGAAGCCATAAAATTCTTAGGACCCATCAGTGTAAGCATTGCTGCTAATGATGATTTTGCTTTCTATGAGGGAGGTCTCTTTGATGGCTCTTGTGCAATTTCCTCCAACCATGCTGTCGTACTTGTTGGTTACGGTATGGAATTAATGTATGATGCCATGAGCCGAGGGTATGAAAAACGATACTACTATTTGCTCAAAAATTCTTGGGGAGAGAAATGGGGAGAAAAGGGTTATATGAAGATTCAGACAGATGAGTACGGATTGATGAAGACTTGCATGCTTGGTGAACAAGCTTTCGTTGCTTTAATTGATGAATTTTAAAGCAAACCGTGTTACAGGACACAACATAGTAGGGGGGGGGGGGGTCACCCCCCTTTTGCATCGCATAAAAATACACGTTTCCATATTTTGTACTTGTCATATATTATAAAGCGGATATTTTGTTCTCCCTCTCTTTTTTTTTTTCCCCTCCCCTGAAGGAGAAAACTTCGGCCTCTAGTCGGCGCACTTTTGCTGACCGCTTGAAGTTCACCGTTCATGATTTTATTTTCATGTGTACTTGTCTTAACTTTTTAAGGGGGCACCTTTTTGTGAAAATATTAATCGCCCCCTCCTTTGCGCCCTTTTCCGCATTTTGCTCACCTGCACACCCCTTTGTGTGATGACTTAAACCGTTTTCCCTTTAAATAATTACGATACAGCGCCGAAGGCCCCGCAAAGAAAAAAAAGAAACACATGTGTTTGTGTGTGCGTTCGTATATTTAAGAGTTCCTCCTTAATGGAGCAATGTGGCTAAATGTATCTCGCCCTATTTTGGTTGCTATGGGGAGAAAGAGGTTTGATGAAGGCAAAATTAAAGAATTAAAAAGGTAAAAAGGTAAAAATTAAAAAAAAAGAGAAAAATTAAAAACCTATGAACCGTTCATAACATTTTGCCACGTCGAAAATAAAGTGCCCAACGGAGGCCCATTCACTTCTCTCTTTTGCAAAATAAATGAAAAAGAAAACCTCTTTCTGGATGATCATTTGCCCGAGCGCTACTTCTGGAGGGCAAAGAATCAGCCCCCCTGTCACGATTAGAACAGAGGGGGGAGCCGCTTTGACGGTAGTGTGTCTACAACTGTTGGCGCCCCGCCAGGATCAGAAGTATGTGCTATCATACAAAACCGTTTTGTTAAGGCGGCACCAACTGGGGCACCCCTGATAAGGAACGAACCTAACGCGAGATGATGGATTGCTCAAAAGGGGAACGCAAGTAGAAAACACTGAGGTATAATTCAATGTGCACATGTTTAGCATGCCTCTTTCTTTCTTGCCCCTCTGTTTGCACTATCGGAATGCTATGAAAGTATGTGCAGGGGGAATAACCCAATTTTTTCCTATTGCCTTAACGTCTTTGTAAAACGGAGTTACGCATATCAATAACTCTGTTGATTCATAACCGGAGTCTGATTTGTTTCCCCCACCCCCTCACGTATGCACGACTGTTCGCTTAACCATTCGTGTGCGACAAAGTTGTGCACGTGCGTCCTTGCCCTCGCTGACAGAGCAATATTTCCCCCCCTGGTCTTACTACCTTGAGGTTACACTTCCTACACTCGAAAAGAGTAACAGAAAAAATATGTTCATTTGTTTCAACAAGGATGGAAGGGAGCAAGCACATATATGGCTTACTTCCCCCTTAAAATGTAAAATTGTAAGTTGGGCTTAGCTTTGAAAATGTGCCTAACTGCTGCTAGATTTGCAAATTGTCAAAGAATAAACTATGCCACTGGAATACGGCCTATTGGCCGTTTTGTATGCACTGTGAGACAAGGAGGTGGATACTTCGCCAAGGGGAGCCACTTTTTCCAACTGTCGATACGTGCGCATTGGTACGCGTTTATCATATATTAGTTACATTCGATGGGGGTGCTAGACGGATTTGTCTTAGCTTAGCTGATCATTCGCAAAGATGTCCGTTGGGGTTGGCCAATCGTGAAGGACCATTGGGGTACGTTTCCCCATTTGATCATTTACTGGGGATTGCTCGAGGGGGGGTGCGCGGTAAACAGCCTAGAGGCGCAAGATCGTTCGCTTCCCTCGTGTACCATCATGGAGGTGCGTTTCCAAAAAAAAAGTGCGAAGGGGAAACCAGTGGAGGATAAATGATTAAGCCGCATAAGTTACAACATGGATACAAAAAAAAAAAAAAAAAAAAAGAAGCGTAAATAAATACATTAACAAATGTGTAAATAAAAACGTAAATAAATAAGCCAAGTGAACAAAAAAAAATGATGAAAAAACATGCGAATGATCAAACACGATAAAGCGGAAGTGCAAAGTAGCAATGACTGAGGAGGAACTCAGTGAATTTATCCCCTTTGGAAACTTAAACTACTTTTCTCAAATCCACTTGTTCTTTTTTTCACGTAGGCACTGTTTTGGTAAAAAATGACACGACACTTTTTTCCCCCCCCGCCGCTCTGCATGTGAGAGGGGCCAGCACGTGGCACAACGCAGAAACGCACAAAAGAACAAATTACAAATTACAAAGCACGGATGCACAATTGCACGAAACACAAATATACACTTTGCCGTTATTTATATCGTTCCTCACCCATTTGCCACAATTTACACTAGGGGCATGCATATGCTTTCAACTGTCCTGCACCTTTTTTTTTTTTTTTTTGTTCTTCTTTTTTTGTTTTAATAACATATGCGAAAAATTAGCCACAAAGTGCCATATCACTTAAAACAGTAGTACAATTTTTACCACTCTTTTTTTTTTTTT